ACAACTTTCTTTTCTGTGATTAATTGCACAGGAGTGGTTTTTCTGGTGAAAAACAGTGACTCCCAAGTCAGACCCTAACCTTGATAGACTGGCCAAAACATTTCGTAATATTTTGTGTACTTTGCCTTCCACAAGGCAAATGCATTCTAAATAAATTAAGCATGAAACGAATAACTTTTATGTGCTTATTGAATTATTGCAGGTGTCCAGCAAATGTGATAGCAAACACAACTTGCAAAACCTTACCTAGATGCATTCTCTCATTTGTGACTGCGCCAAGCATGAAAGCACAACTCCATTTCCTCCTAGTTCCCATCTATGTCAGTGCAGCAGGTTCCTGCCGGCACCTCACTGCAGGTCAAGGATCACACCTTTCCACACCTCTCACTAACTAGCTGTGCCAGCAAAGACCTGCAGTGTCGACATGGCCTGTATGCCAATGTAGCACCAAACATCAAGTAAAAACAGAAAGGGAGATGAAAGGAAAACCTTTTACTGGCTTTGAATCTCATAGCATCCTAAAGCAAACAGCAGGAGAAAGTTCAGGGGAAAATCGTATACATCACCTCTGGCTGGATGTTGGAGTGGCTGTGGAGCAGTGATGAGACGGTGAGCAGGAGTGACTTCCTGAAAAAGTTGTCTCTGTTTCCCTTCGGATCACATGCTCAGTAGCAGAAACATTCTTAGAAATATACTGTAAAATATGAAGAATCAGCCACTAGCTTGCCAACACTGTCACAGACAAATATGGCTGACTTGATTATTTCTGCTGAAATCAGATGAGGGCTGAGTGAACCCGGCAGCTCTGCACCCCATGGAAAGAGGCAAAGAGGCTGCATGCTCTTCTCTGCCCCTGTGCTTTGAAGACTCAAAATGGGCCGTGGCACAGGGGCTGTGGAAGGGTATGAAGAGCCAAGAGATTCCCCAGAGGGCAGTGGTACCACATGTAGCTACTGAGCAGAAAACCATCTCTGCTCACAGGTTGTCTTACACAGAACTGTACGAGCAAAAAGGCAACCACACAAGATCTGCCACAGATATGAGTCCTACAGAAACACCAAGTGTAATCCAAATATTTATGCTGAGATATTCCTTCATCCAACAAGAAGCACTGTTTTCACAGGGACACTAAGCTCTCTGGGGTACACAGCACTTTGAGGCCAGAGGGCTGTGGTTCTTAGAAATTCCCTCTCTTCCCTCATGGCTGGAATTCAACCTAGCTAAATTTTAACATTTAAAGGGTGACCCAGCAGAGCTTGTAACTGATTTGTTGTACTCATTTCCATCAGCACTTCTTTTCGTTTGGCTCTGCCTTCCCCCTCCCTTCTTCTGACCTCTTTCAATGCCTTGGTCCAGCAAGGCAAAACACATCGACAGTCCTAAGGAGTTCACAGACTTTGACGGGCATCTCATGTGACTGAAGTCACGAGAGCAGCTGAACCACCCTTCTGGATCTGGTCCTAAATACTTAGATTGTTTTCATTGGTGTGACACTGGCACCCCACCAGGGCTTCCCACCTTGCCCAGGATTCAACTCTTGGTATGTGCAGGTGGGCTAATGTGGTGCTGACCAGGTCACCACGACATGCTTCAGCATGACATGGTCACTGTGGCAGCTCTGGCCACTGCTGCACTGATCACATTTGTCATGCCACAAAGTGGGGCTTGATGGGATAGTTTAATAAACAGGAAATGTCAGGAACATCCCTCTTAAAGTAAAACTAGATCACACTTGATTCATCAAAACAACCTCATCCAAAGTGTCCTAATCTCATCCTGTGCTTCAAAGTAAAGTCACATTTCCCTTCAGATGTTGTTTTTGGAAATGTTTCTATGCAGAATATATTTTTTTTTTGTTCAAGTTTGTTAGTGTTTTACTCCTCACGCACATGCACAGGTGTATAAGTGTACACATCCATGTCAAATCCCTGGTGGAAAATAGGCACTCAGTAACATGCAGGGAATGGATGACAAGAGGTCTTACATCAGCCATTTGGATTTCCTCAGGATCCAAACGTGGGTGGCTTGGCCCATTTGCAAGGCTCCTATTTTGATGGGCAGGGCACATGTTCTGCCGTAAATGATTATGCATTTGTTTTCTTTGTTTCCTTTAAAACAGAAAAAAAAAAAAATCTATTAGGAAGACTTATCTCATGGGGCTTTCTGCCCCCAGAGACACTTAAGGGATGCAGATGATAAAAAAGGCAAGTCTTGGACACACTTGATATTTCAGTGGTGTTTGTGGAAAGCTGCAAACAGGAAGAAACAAGTCATTCAAGGCTTCCCACCTCCTGCTGCTTTTTCAAAAAAAGGTGAACATTTCTCATCACGGGTCGTTTGGGAAGCTGGGTCCAGGGTCCCCTTTTGCAAGACAATGCCCTGCACAATGCTTTGGAGCCAGGGGCACCATGGTACTGGGAGCAGAGGAGAAAAGTGGGGATAAGGAAAAGGGGAAGCAGGTCCTGGTTTGGCCTTGGTAGCAAGGCAGTTGACCTGTCCTGCACTAAGCTTAAAGTGGCAAAGCCTACCCATGCCCCTGGCAGGGCATCAACTCCACAAGACCCCCGTGCATGCGAAGTACGAAAACGTTGCTGTCCAGGCAGGGAAGGCTGGCCATAAAAGAGGCCTCCAAGCTTCTTGTTCCATCAAGACTGCTCTGAAAGTCCCTGAAATGTACATAGCTCATGCACAAGGGCCCCCTGTGCTTCCGCTGTCAGGAAATGAGTTTGGGGGGCAGCTTTTCCCAGCATCACCTGGCTAGGTGAAACAATCCTGATTCAGGGGATAAGCAAACGGTCCAAGGAAAACATCCTGCTCATGCACAGGCTGGTAGACAGCTTTACTGGCCTCCTTCATGAGATGTTCCTGGGAATACCACAGCACAGCATCTCCTTAAAATAGTTTTTGGGTGAAGAGCATGAAAGCGTAAAGTGTGAACACTACCATTCAGTAACATCTGGCCAGTTATTGTCTTTAACCACCTGTACTCACTTGGTTTTACAGTAAGCTACCACACAGACGATGCCCACCACAAGTAAGGCAACACAGATTCCCGTGATGGTTAAGACTCTCTTCTGGTAGAGCTCTTCTGCTTCTGCAAATGGAGAGAAAGAAACCAGTTATTTACAAATGGGCTCCAGCACCAGGGACGTGTCTGGCTGCACAGGAACCAGCACTGCGTGGTAAGACCTTCTAACAATCCACTGTCCTTCTCTAATAGCTGCCCCAAACCTGAGACCACCTGGCCCAACCTTACTCACCCCTCAAGAGACCTTCACTTCTTTTGTCTCTCTGCACCTTTGCCCTCTCTTGCTCAGTAGTTCACCCCTTCTATGCTCAGATAAGCTTCTTGCTTCCTCTTCTTTTCCCGTAGCATAACTTTGTGACTAATATGTCAAAAAGCCCCATGACTCTCCTCTCCCTTCCAGTAGATCCCCCCTTCTCAGTAACTTAGTAGCATACCAAGGAAGTCCCCGAGCATCCCCCACTCACCACGTACAGACATGCCTTGTGATGCTTTCATCACAGGCTCTCTGCTCTGATGGACTCAGAATGCCTTTTCCTTGCAGCGGCTGCATGCCCTGGAGCTCAGTGGTGTGCTAGAAACCACTGAGCAACAGGCCCCAAAGCATGTAGGTGCTGAAAGGGACATTCTAAAACAGTCAAAAAGCAGAATGAGGATGGAAAAGTGACAGCGCGTTCGACAAAGAAAAAGGAGTGCGGTAATTAAAATACAGTAACCAATTACACTTCTGGATTTTTAATGAAACCGTAGGAAGCAATTAATCCCATTGCACCAGATAACTCAGATGCAAACACAAAAGTCAAGCAGCATGATGCTGCTTCTCTCAAATATCACCATTTGTCATGGACCACCTTTCAAACCAGGAAAGTCAGCCACTTGCATCAAAGCCCAGACCATGCTGGAAGTGAGGTAATTCATTCACATTAATCATCGCCCCAAGGAAATGCTAGCATATCACTTGCAGTGTAATTGAACTACACCTAGGCAACAATCGCACGACAAGGACAACTCTTTCTCTGTGGCTACACCAGAGCAGATGCTCTTCTCGGCAACATCCAGAAATCTCCACTGAGCTCAGCAGAGGCAATTTGGTTCTCCAGCTGGATGACTGAGAGAACTATTCAGTGCACAGCCTCCATGAGCATTTTAGTTCAGCATCTATGAACAATGTCCTCGTTCCCCCATACTATGTGTTAATGTTAAAGTTCTCGGGGTTTGTGCCTTCTTTAATATTGGTTGAAATATTTTTTCTTATAGATTAGGCAATAAAACTCATGCCATGGTTGCTGTGCTCGGCACCGTTCACCATGCCACACTAAATGCCTTGAGCAGACTATGTGATAACCCCACTGTTAGTAAACAATGAAATACAAAACCAGAAAAGAAACAGGTCTGGTCCCAGAAACCTCTGGGACTAGCAAAAAAAGCAAAGGGAAAGCAATGAAACATTCCAGACAACTAAATATTTAGACCAATTTCAACTTGCCATTTTAGGAAGGAAAAAGCATTTTTGGAAGAAAAAAAAGTGCCAGGAAAAACATCTCTCTCTAACTCTCAAAATGGTAGTGAAGAAAGATTTGTTAAACAAGGACTGAGAATGACAGCCCTGGCATAAAGATGCAAAGCATAATCAGCAGAGCTTCTGTCATGCCTGTGTTGCAAATTCCATTTGTTTTGTTTGTGCACTGGCCTTTGCCTTCATGGGTGCTCAGGATGCCAGTGGAGTTGCCAGGAAGGCAATGTCTCAGCATTCACTAGAGAGGTGGGCAGCTGAGACTCTCCCAGACTCTGTGTCCACGTGGTGTGGACCAGGAATGACAGGTCATGGGTCTCACTTGGGCTGAAAGTTACTGCACTGCAGCAGCTTCACCAGCTGGCTACACGTCCTCAGAGCCAGAGCTTGTACAGCCTGGGACCCACTCATAGAGGAGGGTCTGGGTGTTGGCTGACCTTATGTTTCGCTACAAAGAGCCAGGTGGAGCTGGCATGGGGAAAGAACTCACTCTGGGCTAAAACACCTCCTTCAGCGAAGTGTTTCCCTTGCATGGATGCCCTATTCCAGGCATCAGCAACCACGGCAGACAAGTTTTCTTGCTCTTGCACACCTCTGTGGCCTGGATTCCAGCTGTACAGCTCTTTCCTTCATACAGGGGTTTCAGAGATTTTATCAGAATCAGGAAAAACTTCTAGGATCATGTCCTGGTTACAGATGGCACCAGGCAAGAATTTTTCTACTACCCAGTAAAAACTACGTTTACCAAAAAACAGAGGCTGGGCAGGAGGTGAGTTTTCACCATGGAACCATCCATCAAGCCAATTTTTTCAAAGCTTCTTCACGAACTACTTTTTTTTTGCTACAATGACTTTTTTCCAAGCATAAATCATTTCCTTTGAATCCTAGAGGAGGGAGAAAGGGCAAAGTCATCAAAACTATGGCTTTTTTTTTACCTATTGCCTACATGACAAAATTTTTCACCCAAGGCTCAAATCACAGCCTTTGTTCTGGTGATCATGTTACTGTGGGATCCTGACTCTGGCAAGTCTGACTGTCCTGAACCTTCCCCTGAATTGCATGCGGAATGTTTCAGCTCCTCAGAAATGCAGATGTAGCCTCTCTGTCTCGAGCTTACAGCTCTGCTATGTGAAGCAATGAAGTGTGAGGCTGTGCATCATTGCACCGAAACTAAAAATTAAATGGCCTGCTGATAGTAATTTAGCTTGGCTCCTAACATCTCATTAAAGTTGATGTTCAATAACACAGTGTCTTCATGTTGCACAAAACCATCTGAACAGTGACAGAAAGAAAATGAGAGAATGCACACTACAACTTTGTGTTTGAGAAGGTCCTGGAGCAAGACTTGTCCATTTGTGTCTCTATGCTCTACAAACACCATGTCTTCATCAGCAGCATCATCACTCTACCGCAGCAAACACTATGAACAAACCATGTGGTGCCACATAATGCTGACAGAATCACAGTCCAGCCATGGGTGTCACAGCAACGCATGAAAGTGAAAGACAAATGACAGAGAAGAGACGACTGCAGACGGCGAACTGGATGTGTGCGGTTCTGTGATGACATTGAGAATGGATGAGGAAAAGGACAAAAGGTCAACAAAAAAGGGATGTCAAAAATCCTCAATTTTAAAGTTTCTTTAAGTGTATTAGCATTAGCAGCACTGCTTTCTCTGAAACACCTGACCACAAAACGCACACATTTTTCACAGCAAGGAAGAACTGCTGGGGTATACACATCAAACCCAGAGGATCAGGCATGTAAAAGCCAGAGCTGCAGCTTCAGCTAGTGCATGTTCCTCCTCCTCAGGGACCTGAGAAGACAATTTAGGATCCAGAAGTTAAAGACTGGTGTCCCCATACCTCTAGCAAATGGAACTGAAGTGTCTTCATGTGAAGATCTGCTCTGACTGACATTGCTAGGTCAATGTTTTTAAGTGATAAAGATTAGTCTCTCTGCCCTCATCTGACCAAGCCCTCCCTGCAGCTGGCCTGTACACTAAAGGGAAACCTAGCCTCAAGGGTTTGATTTCTCAGGTGTTTACTCAAGAGATGATTGATATATTTCTAAAAACAGACTGAGGAGAATTGAAGAAAAATAATATGATTATGAGTAACTGGGCAGCAACAGATAATTGCCCAAAGGGGATATTTTTAAAAGCATTTGTTATGTTAATGTTTTTCCAAACTTCATCTTGCCGCTCTCCACCCTCATGGGACACTACTGATTGCCCTGGGCACACTGTTTCATGTCACCCTTCTTGGAACAATTTCCTCTCCGTCAAGAACCGAAATAAGCCACTAATCTTTGGGAGGAGGAACGGCAAAGCTCGTCCTGACCCTTTGTAGGATCCAGTGGAGGTTAGTGCATCTAGGATGGCAATTTCTATAGAAGGCTTGTTCTTCCTAAAACTTCCTTCCCATTCCTGGAATGTCTGCCCATTCCCAAGTGGTGCCTGCTGGCAACCTTTTGGATGGACACAAATTCCAGCTTTTCATTTAAATACACAAAAGCATGTTGAATGAGGAGACATATGGCAATTGTAACATCCCAGTCACGCCACACACACCAGGCTGCTGCTTGAAACAAAGAAAAAAGTGCTGCTAAAAATACACGTGCATTTTTATAGGTTTACACTTAGATTTTGTGTTTTGTTTCATTTTGGTTTTGTTTTGTTTTGTTTTTTTGGGGTTTTTTTCAGTCCAAACATCTATCTTCGTGCCAGGGAAGAGAACACAACAGCTGATTTTTTAATCATCCCATTAAAGCCATAAATATAATGTGGGAAGCTCTTAATGGCTTCTGATTAATAAATGAATGGTTGTTCCATACCCTTTAATTCAAATCCAAGATGCTCTGCCAATGCAGAAAGAAGACAAGGAAGAGAAAGAGAAAAAGAAAAACAGGTCTGTCAGAGATCTCTAATATACAGACACACACAATGTGCAGTTACAGCAGGTTAGCTTTTCTGTAGGCTCAGCAGCAGTTACACAGAAGATAGTGTATGCTTCAGAGCATTTCAAATTCCCAACAGAGCTTATATCTTATGTAAAGAAAGACCCAAACAAATTGCAGTGGAAGTTAATTATGAATTCTTTTCGTTAATCATGAATTCTTTTGAGATGAGACATGTTTGTTAGTACCTGATATGGAATTCACGGTTTAGGCAGGGGAAAAAAAAAAGAAAAGAAAAAAAAAGGTACACTTGTTCTGAAACAGCTCCTGACAGGTCAAAACACATAGCAACTGCATGAACCTGGTAAAAACCATTCATTCATTTTCTACAGACAAAATATGCGCTGCATGGTTTCACACGTCCCTCTCTGCCTGCGGGTCTGTGCACCAAATTAGACCACTGGGCAGACAGATGTGCGGGCACTTGCATGGGGCCCTGAGGCCTGCCAGCATGATTCTGCTGCCTGCGACCTTAGGTCCGGTCTTGGATGCACAGCGTCATGTGGCAGTGTTGCCTGTAAATCACCTGAAGGTGTGTCAAATGTGGGAGCACTGTTCTGGGTGATACCGATCTGCAGCTGAATCACTGATGCTGCAAGTGATTAGTTGCCTGGGCAAGGCAATGAATCCTTTGCAGATCCAAAAGTGCAAAGTGCACTGAAAGTTTCCCTCTACTCTGTGATCTTCCAAATTTCACTTCTGCTGTGGTTCTGCATTGTTTCAGAAAGGACAAACATGCTGAAAAAAGCACAAATCAGAGCATCTGCTTTCAGATTCATATTCGTTACAAGTAAGATTGCAGTTCATCTTGCAGAGATAGTTCTAAGCAAAGTGGTTTACCTAATGCATCAACAATGCTGTTATCCAAAACAGATACGCTGATTTTTAGTAAATTTCCTGGTATAGGTCTCACCTAAAGATGATTTTTCTTACATAAACATTAAAGTTCTCCACACTCATCATTGTATACAAAAGTGAGCTCTGCTGTTCCCAGTCACCATATACACAAGATTATTTGCAGCTTGGAGATGTCCAGATTTATTTACTATATTTTCCATAGTAATTGATATTTGCTGCACAGAAATATTGGCTTTCTTTTGCAGTTCTAATCAAAATTTAGGCGGGCAGAAATTAGCACTAATTGTTATGGAACATGTTAACACGTTTTCTAAAGCAGGTTCTTCTTTTCAAATCAATACTGATGTTTGGAGGAATTTTTGGGAGTCAGGAGTTGGGTGGGGTTGGGTTTTTTTAGAATTTATATTATTTAAAGACCACAAAACCTGGCTGCTCTCTGCTTCGCATCTCACATTTGTACAAAAGAAACGGCAAAACCTACCATGTGTTTCACAGTCATTTTGTACAAGTTGCAGTCACGTGGACACAATGTGGTGGGCAGCAGAGAACTGGACAGAATACATTCATGCTAAATATCTTGGTTATCACATCTAGCCTTGACCTTTTCCTAAGGCATGCTACCATTACGCACACTGTTTCACCTGACACTGTGACAAATGTATGTAGAGATACATTAAATTTCATCTGTATGCCTATGCTATTGATCCATTTGATAGTTGCATACTGTCTGTACTGGCACATTTCCTCCCTGTTCCAGGATTTACTGCAACATCTACAGCTACAAATGGATGCAATTCAAAACATTTTCATGTTTTTTTGCAAACTCAGAAATGCCTGTGCAAGCAGAGGTGGTGGGCAGCACCTGAGGAACTTTAGCCTTCCCACAGTCTCTCTCACATCAGAACTGCAGTTTCTTTTGTCTCCTCAGCTCCATGGAGCAGATACAGCCAGCTGGCTCATTGGATCTTAGCTACACGTTCCCTGAGCAGGAGGAAAACCATGGAACCATGAAGCAGCTGGAATGTATGTGCCTGCCTGTGCCTACAAATCCTTGCAGACAGAAGAAGTCTTACCCCAGCTTATGCTCCTGCATCTGATGTCCATGGCAACACTTCTCTGTCATCATTTCAGGCTACAGACATTGCTTCTGTGTCACCCATAACTGAACACATCAAATGGGAAGCCACTCCCTTCTCCTGCTCAGGAGTTCCTCTCAGTCTGGGCAGGTATTGCCTTCTGTGCTGGGACAGTGAAGGAGGAGACACTTCAAGAGTAGGCTGGGATTTGGAGCATTTGTCTCTTGTCTAAAGAAGAGACTGTTCAAAATTATTCAATGTGTTATAAAACAGAGGCTAACAAGATGACCCCAGCCCCAGGAAAAACATTGTTTCAAAATGTAATCATTCTGGATTCATCAGAGGGGGGGTGTATTATTTTCACAAACATGGCTTACCACATAGTGCGTGTCTATTTTATATCAACAATATAGCGCTTGGTAGAAAACATGCTTGAGAAATCAAAATTTCTTCTACAGAAAACAATTTATTTTGGTCTGGAGCAAAAGATATTTCTGACTGTGGACATGTTTGAAAGAAGTCTCCTTTGCTTTTTTAAGAGATTCATGAGGAAAAGTAATACATCTTTAAAAGCTTTCAGTTATGTTTGCTGCTAGGTGGAGAAGATGCTTAGCCTGAGGTGTAGCACCTGCACTGTATCCTGCAACAGTTCAGTCAACCTGCGTTTTACTCACTCTCCCAGCTAGACTGACAGTCTGGCACACTTGGCTGCTGAGGATGCCTAGAAACGTTTGGGCAACAGTCCCCTCTGTGGCCATTAACGATGCAGAGAGAAGCATGAGGTCTAGGTAAATCCCCCAGCTCCTCCAGGCGGTGACTCACTCCACTCTGATAGAGGTGGTTGCAATGGGGAGGTGTATTGTATCCCAGACTTGTGGCAGGGGGAGCCTTTGGGATAGCTAATATTAAATGGATGAAGCTCATCTGTAGAGATAAATTGATACATGCCAGGAGTGCTGACAGAATGCAGCAGTACTTTCCAGCTCCCACTGAACAAGCTCCATTGGAAGCAGTATTTCCAGAAGCTACCATGCAAAAAAAATTACAGTGAGACAGCACTGAGATGGTAGCTCTAGGCCGAGGAAATGCACGTATTATTTTTCTCACATCATCAACCTTCAGTCTGAGCTCCACACATGCTCCCTGGTCATGGCAAAGAGCTAGGGCTGAACACCCTGAACAGCTGTAAGACTCCCCTAACCATCTGAAGTGGGGATGTGTTTTGGAAAATCTCCTTCCAAATGTGCCTGCTAACCCTTTCTGAAAATGCTGGACGTAAGAAAGAACCCATTCTTTCTCATGCAATCATCAGTGTTAAAGAAACAGTATCTATTGGCGTCTTTAATGCATTACTTTGCAGTATTTACATTATTTCTTGTACCTAAAAGCTAAGCTAGGCTCTTCTGTGTTGATCCCAAGGGAGACTGGACTGGCAGTTTGTAAATGTTCAAATACCTGTCCACTGTATGTATGACAGAAGGCTGTCCAACAGAGAAAGGCAGCAAGCATAGGAGAGTGGAGGAAGAGAAAAAGGGAAACAATATGAAAGAGATGACAAAAATATTTCATTTTCAAGCTCTTCATTTCAGTTGCAGCACATGTGTGTGGGCTTCAGGTTGGATCCCATCATCCAGATTGGTACCACTCGGCTATTCAAAGCAGGGCTTGCTGAAGAGTCAAGTGGTGCATGGACCTTACACCCAAGTCCCCCAAAGAGACATTCAGTTGAAGTGGACTGAAAGAAAGAATTCAGTTGGATTTAGGTGCTTCCAGTATGGTGGGTACTCTGTGGACCCACTGTCACAAATTTCTTGGTGAATTTTTTTTCATCATCGGACAGAAGAAAAAGTCCTACACTTACTTGAGCCTCAGTGACTTTGTGACTACGTTTTTCTCTGTAATGTATTTTACCTGTTTTAAAACATAAATAGACAAAAACATGTAATCTAAAGTATCCTTATAGGAGTAACACCTCAAGACAAGATGGATTTCAGTGAACTGTAGATTTGTAGGATGATTAAGAAGGATAAAAGCCTTCGCAAATAGTTGTGAAAATTGGACCTGCGCTCACATGGGCTCCAGGTTGCCCAAGAATGTCATAAAGATGTTTAGCTACCGTGTCCATTATTCCCCCCAAACACACTTGTTTCCCCCAGAGGGCTATATGGTTCACAAGACATGCTCCAAAGCATGAAACAAAGTGGAGAATTAACTTCTGAGGACCAGCATGACAGACTACTGATAATAAATTGTACTGACAAGAGTAATACTTGCAGCACCCTGGTGTAGGCTTCCCTTAGGGGGTACGGGGAGCAATGCAAGACAGTTCCATGATGCTGTGCTCGTGTTAAGAGCTGGGCAATACATCAGTTATCCAACTGCAGAAACTCTGCAAACTTTCCATAAACTGCACAGCCATTTAGCTCGTCCAGTACTGTATCAATAAAAATAGCTTAGGAGGCCTCTAGAGTCCAGATAAATAACAATAGAGTATTAACACACTGCTGTGGATTAGCATGCAATTAACTTTAGGAGATCCAAAGAGTAACCTCTACTGCTGTTGAAGGGAGAGGAATAACACTGTTATGCTAAACCACAAATGTCCTGTAATTATGCAACCACATCACAGCATAGTCATCACCCTGTAATTAAGTGATCAGCAGTTATCATGTCATTGAAAGGAAGCTGCAGAATATTTATTGAATTTAAAATGCTGCTATATGTTGTTTTAGGGTTCAGATGAGTAAGAGATGGAGGAGGGAACAGAAAGGAAGTTAAAAAAAGAAGTATTCTTCTGCTTATCATTTTCTTATTGCAACCAACAGGTAGGAAAGTATTGCTGAATAAGTGAAGTGAAGAGAACAGTGAAGCTGAAGTTCAGATCTAGACCTTCCCAGAAGAGCTTGAAGAGGTACATTTATCCCTCTGCTCATGGGGATACTTCACTTCAGTGTAAGGAGCAAGCAT